ATCCATTTAGGGGCACCAAATGAGAGTGATGTCTGAGCTGCTCCAGTCCTAGCAGCAGCTAGGCTCTCTCATCAGACTTCGGGACGCTGCCTTGGAAAATATCCCTGCTCCATCCAGCATCTAACGATCTGTTCGCACTATACCACACACGTGTCCCCAGGCAAAAAGAGTCCTAGCACGTGAAGGAACAGTCCAGCCATAATTCAACAGCTGTAGAGAATCACAGAATAGTAGGGGTTGGAAGGGACCTCTGTGGGTCACCCAGTCCAACCCTCCTGCAGAAGCAGGGTCACCTACAGCAGGCTGCACAGGACCTTGTCCAGGTGGGTCTTGAATATTTCCAGAGAAGGAGACTCCACAACCTCCCTGGACAGCCTGGGCCAGGGCTCCATCACCCTCAGAGGGAAGAAGTTCTTCCTCCTGTTCAGACGGAACTTCCTGTGCCTCAGTTTGTGCCCATTGCCCCTTGTCCTGTCGCTGGGCACCACTGAAAAGAGCTTGGCCCCATCCTCCTGACACCCACCCTGCAGATATTTATAAGCATAAGAACCAGAGCATCAGAATCGTTGGAGGCATTAAGCTGCAAATACACTGCCTAGGATCGAACCCTCTCAGAGAAAAGCCTTAAGGTAGAGAGGATTCAAACCCATAGACTCAATTCTACTCAAAGGAACCAAATCCACAGGCTGTGTGAAGGTAAGCATCTGCTGGGCTTAGTTGCTCGGCCTCCATGCTACAGGCAAGGCTTCTGCTGCCGAGAGGAAGGTTTTTGACGGAGCACTGGCACAGGCTGCCCTGGAGAATATCTCTGGAGATATTCAAGCCCCGCCTGGACAAGGTCCTGGGCAGCAAAGGCACCTCGCTAGTCCTCAGCCTTACCCGGATGCCCGGCAAGCAGCGCCAACCCTGCCAAAATTCCTTTGGTGACTTCCAAGCCGTCAAGACTCTTGCTGAATTTCTCTGCTAAACTGGAGAAGCAAAGCAGCCGTGCGTCGCTCAGCAGCTGCCTCGCAGAGCTGCCGACGGCGCGGGAAGCAGCAGACCAAGTCCTCTGGGATCCCCCGAGATGATGGTCCAACAGAGGTTAGATTACCAGCAACCACCTACCCGTACGATCTCAGCATTTAGCACTTGATGTCCCAGCAGCCAGGGGAAAGTCTCGTTAAACACAACAGAGAAAAAACAACAAGAACTGTCAAACTTACATCGTTGCGTTGCATCTTGGAGAACCCCTCCGGGAAGAGGACACAGTCAAGCTACTACAGTCACCATGCCAGCAGAAAACACACCCAGCAAGAGATCTCAACTAGGCAATGTCCTCCTCCGAGCAGACACACGTATTTAACTCAGCTCTGCTGAGAAGCCGGGCAAAGCAGCAGCAAACACAGCAAAAACAACCCTGTACCCTCCTCCCCGGGGAGGAGAAAGGCAGCCGAAGGAGTCCTTCCAGAGCCTCAAGTGAATGGATCCCAGTGTCACCTGCCAGTCCATTTTCCAGTCCAAATGATGGCTGATCTATCAGAGCAAATCCCTCTCCGCTGCAGAAAGCAATCAAGAAATTTAGGAGCCACTTCTTAATTATGGTGGGGAAGCATTTTTAATTCACCTTCTGAGACACCAGTGCCTAGCACAGCGGAGCGCAGGGGAAAGGAAGGATTTGTGGCGTCTGTGAAGTGAGGAGGAGCAGCCTCACACGTGCACACACACATACGCACACAGGGAAAGGCAGGCAGGACATTCCCTTTTGCTTTTAACCATTTTAAGAACCAAATCAAGCTCTTTTTACACCAGGTACTGCAGTTTGCAAAGAGAATGAGACACTAGACACTGTCACCACGTTTTATTAAGGCAGATATTCTTCTCCGCATCTCTAAGACTGTGAAGTGCACAGATCCAAGATGGAAAATAACATAAGTCACTTCCACGCAGACAACTCACAACTCGGATAAATTAGGTCTGTGCTAGGCTTGGTTAGCATCTGTCAGGGACACTTTGATAATTTGATCCACTTTTGCACAGGGGAATGAACTATGTGCTCTCCCAAAGTCACTTCTTAATCTTTTTCCCTTTCTTTCTACTTTCTCTAAGCTTTGCCAGCTTCCACTTTGATCCAAGCCAGGAGCACGGCCACGTTTCTGCTCTACCTCCGTATTTGCAGCCCTATGCAGTTTCAGATCAAAAAGCTTTCCAGTATGGGAACATTACCTTCAGTCAAGGAACTACGATTCCGAATACGTTCCCAAAAGACACAGACTTCTGGCAGCTGCCAGTCAGGCTCCCAGTGGGGCAGAAAATTATGATCCATTTCATATATTCTTAACCTCTGTGAAGTTTCACTGCGGTTGGGCACACGCTTTTACTGACAGCTTCTGAAAAGAAGAGACGTTTGCCAAGGCAAGCGAGCTTCGCTAGGCGCTAGGAGCCTCCCCGAAGCAGCAGCTTCAGCGCTGTGAAGCCCTCCACGACGCGCAGAGCTGAGCAAACTGCAAGGCCTCCGGTCTGCATAAACCCAGGTGTAACCACGGGGCTAAACGGAGAGGAAGCGTCTGGTTTAACGTCAGGTCTGTTCCTGGATCACCCAAACAGCTCACGCCCCTGTAACCAGCAGTGTCTCGGTTTCCTCATATATAAAACGCTGTTGCAACCCCAAACTGCTCTGTATCTCCAGAGCCTACAGCAGAGCTGCTCATATCAGGCTCTCAGCAAGCACATTAAGTCCCTTAAAAAGGAACTTTACAGCATAAACATTTATTCAGTGAGCCACAGCGGACAAGCCACAGTGTAGAAAGGTCCTCAACAAGCAGCCTGTGAGGTCCGAGTCCCAAATTCACCCCACAACACGCAGCAGACATTTCTCAGGAGGCTGAAGGGCTGCGTTCCCCATCACACACATCACCACCACCCAAGGCAGAGAAAGCCTCACGACCCCCGCACTGCCATCACAGCTGGATCTGGCCACGTGCTATATCCACCACCTCTGGTTTCAGAGATCACAGAAGAGCAACCACGACCGAGACCTCCAACCGCACGTGCTGCCTTCACGCACCGCAGGAAAACTTCCAGCACAGCGTCTGGAGGCGCAGCCTTCACGCCTCTCCAGACACCAAAGGGTTTGCTGACATTAAGTTGGGCAGAGAGGAACCTGATGAGGTTCAACCAGGGCAAGGGCAGGGTCCTGCCCCTGGGGAGGAACAACCCCAGGCACCAGTACAGGCTGGGGCTGACCTGCTGGAGAGCAGCTCTGTGGAGAGGGACTGGGAGTGCTGGGGGACG